TTAATTTAGAAGTCTCTGAAATCCCTTTTTGGGCTGTTATCTGATAAATTGCCGATACTGATAATTTGGTCCCGTTTGACCAACCGGTCAACCCTATGCCATTGCCATGGCCCAATCAGGACATTCACCATCATATAAATATTATCTAGTCCAAGATTAATATAACATGTGGTCCCGTAAATATCGGGCGGCCTCACTCCCGGTGTGGGCCCCACGTGAATTTTACTATTCACGTAAAAGAAATGATAAAAATTTACAATCACGTAAAAATGCTTTTATTCATTTCTCAGGTTTCAACACATAATTTGATACAATACAAATACTCGGGGGCGGTGTTACAGTTGGGGGCTGCTGTGAGGGGTGGGGGTTACTGTGAGGGGTGGGGGATGCTGGCTGGGGTGACGTAGGGCAGGGGCTGGGGTTCAGTGGTCGGAACTGGTTGTCACCGGCGGTGGCCGGAGGTGGTGGTGGACTGGCCAGAGAGGGGGCTGGGGGCAGAACATGTGGGCTTGGGAGGTGGTGATGGGGCAGGGGCGGTGGTGGACTGTGATGGGATGGGGGTGGGCGGTGATGGAGTGTGATGGGATGGCGGGGTGGTTGGGGCACTTCAGATGTCGGTAGAGTCAAATGACAGGGGTGGCACTACTGGCTGGTGGTGGTGGCGAGTGGCGGCAACCGCCGTGGTGGCCTGCAGCGGCAACCACCGTGGTGGCCTGCAGCGGCAACCACCGTGGTGGCCTGCAACGGAAACTGCCGTGGTAGCCTGCGGCGACTGAGGTGGTAGGCGATGGTGGCTGGTGTCACTGTGACCGGCGGTGGCAGCAGTGAAACGAGCAATGACAGTGAAAGTGACATGGCGATGGCGGCAACAATGACATGGGTGATAGCGGCAGTGACATTCATCAGTGACATGAAAATGGGACAGTGACATGTATATTTGGTTGTCACTTTATTTTAGTCATATTTTTGTCCAAATCTAAAAGTGGACACATTTTTGGAAATCAGTCATATTTTAGTAATATTCAGGGAATAACCCCTATTTATAATAGCAATAATTTAAAGAGCATTACATGCTAATACATGTGATTCTAGTATGAGTGAAGTCCCACCACATATGTTATGGTGCCACCGGTGTCTCTACCGGGGTGGGCGAGACTCGAGAGTGCATGTTGCCTTTGCCCGTTCGTAGATGATGGAACTCACCTGTCTTCTATCTGACAAGGGTGTGACAATATTTGTATACATTTTTCTAATACAAAATTTTGAATTTGAATTCAAATTCATATGCAATTGATTCGGAGATGAATTCACATTTTTGAATTCGAATGACAAATCAAATAAAAAACTATTGATCCGCTTATACCCTATTCGAGGTAGTGGATGCATTTTTTGTTTGAACTTTTAAAATTAAGGAAGATGTACTCATATAGGTTTATAGACACAATAATTGTAGAATATATATATGGTTTCCTGATATAAACATAGAACCTTATTAGGATCCTTACACGTAAGAAAGTAAGGGCCCGTTTACTAACAGAGATATTTTCCTGTTTTCTACTTCTATTTTTCGTTCTCCAATTTCTGTTTTTATTTTTCAATTTTTCTATATCCAGTTATCTATTTTTATTTTCTAGTTTTCCATTTTCAAATCAGAAAACATGTTCATCAATTTTTTTCACCCAATTCTGTGATCATCGAGAAGACTGACACGTTTACTTCACATGTTACTAAATGATGCTTATTAAGACTCGCGTTAATAAGCAACACATAAAATAAGCAATGTTATAAGATCATGTTTACTTCAAAAGGTATAAAACACCGTTTAACATTAAAATGTCCAAAATAACCCTATACATATATAGACACACAAACATTCATTAACACAAATATATAATATAATATGTGGGGTCGATCACCTTGTACGTGTACCCATACTCCTAACCCTTACCATGCCCCTATACCTTATACCCCTAGCCTACACCCTACACCCTACATCCAATTCCACACCCTTGACCCCTAAGAGTGGGGTAATGGGTGGGGGTGGGGTAATGGGTATGGTCGGGGTGGGGTGGTAAGGTTAGGGGTACGGGGTTGGGTGGGGTAGTGGGTGGGTTAGGGTGGTGGTTAGGGGTAAGGGTGGGGGTAGTGAGTAGGGTTGGGGTTGTGGTAAGGTAGGGGTAGGGTAGGGAGTTGGGACATGATGGCGGCAGGGTGGGGCCGAAGTAGGGGAAGGGGTAGGGGGTAGGATGGTGGTGGGGGTAGGGGTAGGATGGCGGTACGAGGGTGGGGGGTAGGATGGCGGTAGGGTGGGGCCGAGGTAGGGGCATGTGGGAAGGGGTAAGGTAGGGGTAAGTGGTAATATACGAGAAGGGTAGGGTAGGGTGGGTCGGGGTGGGGTTGAGGTGGTAGGGGGTGGCGGTAGGGTAGGGTGGATCGGGGTGGGACCGAGGTAGGGGCATCTGGTAGGGGGTGGGGTAGGGTCATTGTAGGGAAAAGGGGTATGCGGGTTGGGGGTTGGATGGGTAGGGTAGGGTAGGGTAAGGGTAAGGGGTAAGGTACGAGGATGGAGGTACTAGAATGGAATCGACATCAGAGCGAGACCGAACCACCACTTGGTGTAAGTATGCAAATTCATTGCAGTGGCCTGTATCATCTGCGTTTTCCGAACTTGGAAAACTAGTAAAAGTCACTTCTCCAAATCATTAAGGAAAAAGAGACATGTCTAATTTTTTTGTTTTGGAAAACGGTTTGGTAAATGCGTTTTTTGTTTTCCTTTCTCCAGTTTTCCTGCAATTTTCTTTGGTAAATACGTTTCCTGTTTTCTGTTTTCTAGTTTTACAGTTTTCTGGAAAACCGGAAAATATCTCTGTTAATAAACAGGCCCTAATTTTTTTTATTTTGTCTTTTCTTTTTACTTTAGTGATTTATTTCTCATCTTTGTACAAATTCTATTTAGACAAACCAAGAACTAAAGAAATCACATTTGCCCACAGTTTGGCTTTTAATTTTGAACTATATGTAGATGTAAAATAAAAACTAAAGTGAACAACATATATCTATGGATAAGTGCATTTCTTGAATTTATTTCAGACATCAATTAATTAATATATTTAATATATCAAATCAAAACTAAGCAACTTAGACTAAATCAATTTAAAAGATATCGCCCTGTAGCATATTATATTACAACTAAAACCAGAGCACACTAGGTCTCCCCCAAATAATACCCCATTCATCCATTATAACTTTATCAAAGTTGATTCAGAAGTGCATGGAGGGTCCAAATGATGAACGAAAATGCAAACTTTTGATGCTTCTCTGGGCCATGTGGAAACGTCGGAATGATGTAGTCTTGAAGGAGCAAATGCTTGAATCACCAGCAGTAAGGTATCTCGCAGAAGTCATGTTGAAGGGCTAGCGAGAGGCCCAGGTAGCAAAGGTAGCAGTCAGCTCTCACACAGGGAAGACAAATGCGTCCAATGATGGGAAATGGCAGCGACCTTCGGCTGGATGGATAAAAATAAATGTGTATGGTGCTGTTGATGTGGCAAGAGGAATTCAAGCATGGAGCTTGATAACTCGAAATGAGGAAGGAACCGTTATATGTGGTGGTGGCGATTCCAAGGAGGCTTATTGGTCACCGACTGAGACGAAAGAGGTGGGAGTGAGAGATGCCTTACTCAAGGCAATACAGGAAGGTTGGCAGCAAGTAGTGGTTGAAACTGATGCTTTGGAGGTGGTTAAAGGGATTCACAAAGAGTGTGTTATTCGTACTTGGAGTTGATTCTTGATGCTATTCGAATTATTCTTAGAAGACACATCGACTTTGTTGTCTCATTTGGTAGAAAAACTGGGAATTATGTTGCCCACACTTTGTCTAAGACATACGTTCCTCATCTTGGTCTTAGGACACGTTTACTTTACGAATTACTAAACAGTGCTTATTAAGACTCACATTAATAAGTGCGCATAAAATAAGCAGTGTTGTAAGCTCATGCATACTTCAAAGAATTTAAAACACCGTTTATAATTAAAATGTCCAAAATAACTCTATACATATATAGACAAAGAAACATTCATGAACAGAAGTATATAATATAATACGTGAGAGCCACCTCGTACGCGTATCCATTACCCCTACCCACCCTTACTCGTACCACCACCCACCCGACCCCTAACCCCTACCCCTACCATGACCTTACCCTCTACCCCTAACTCCCCCATACCCTATTCCCTACCATACTCGTATCCTCGACCCCTGTATCCCTACCCCTTTCCCCCTTACCTCGTAGTGTACCCTTACCCCCTACCTTGACGAGTAGGCTCGTACCCTTACCCCCATAGCTTAGGGTCATCAGGGTAGGGATAAGGTACGGGTTCAAGTAGGGGTAGGGTGAGGGGGTAGGTAGGGTAGGTAAGCCTAAGGGGTTAGGGGTGGGTGGGGTATGTAGTGGGTGTCCGTAAGGGGTCGAGGTAGGGGGTAAAGGGGATGAGTAGGGGTAGGGGTAGGGTAAGGGCTAAGGGCTAAGGGGGGTAAGGGTAACGAGGGGTGGGGTCATGGTCGGGGTGGGGTTGAGGTAGGGACGAGGATGTGAGTTGGTGGGGTAAGGGGTGGTCGGGGGTAGGGTAGGGGTTTTGGGGTAGGGTAGGAGTAAAGGGGTGGGGTCGGAGGTGGGGTCGAGGTAAGGGCATGTGGTAAGGGTAAAGGGCTAGGGTAAGGGGAGGGGTGGGGGTGTTTGGGTGGGGTCGGGATAAGGTAGGATAGGGGAGGCGAGGCGAGGTGGTGGAGGGGTAGGGGTAGGGGGGTAACAATAGGGTAAGGGCAAGGGGTAATAGTAAAGGTAAATTTGGAAACTGAAAAAGCTTAAAGTGACGCTTAATAAATACATGCAGGTAATATGTTTAGTAAACGTCACTTTAAGATCTCTTTCGGTATGTAAGGAACTTTAGCTACCAAATAAATTAGATTTAATCAAGCACCTACTTGATTAAGGTTATGACTTTTATTATGAACTTTACATATGGAGGTTTACAAAATTCAGTTAACATATGCATCTTACGCCAGGAAGGCCAGAAATTTCACACTAACGGTTTTCGTCCTTATGGTAAGTTGATTGAAAAACTGGGTTGAACTAACTCAGAAAGTCGCAAGACTGTAACTTTATGAAAGATCAGTGGTAGCTTCGTTTCTTCTCTGGCTTTGATTGCTTGATTCAAGTTGGACACGACACACGAGCTTTTAGCAGTAGCTGGAAGAATACATAGAAGATGTCTCCGTCTTCGTCGCCACTCACGCCCACCCACAAGTACGCCGCCGGTGCTCTTTTCGGTCTGGCCCTTCACCAGGCTCAGATCCATCAAACTCTTCCTTTGGGGTTCCCCTCCCCTGACGAAGAAGGCCCAAACCATGACCGCATCAGCACTGGCAGCAGCAGCGATTCCGTCTCTGAAGATCCCCAGCTCTGGGTCCACCTCTCATCTGCTCTCCTCCGCCCCGTCTTCAAGTTACGGATCTGTTTCTGTATATTTACATTTATGCTATGAAGATCGCTTCTCAATGAAATCGGATGTTTTTTTTTTAAATTTCGTATTCTGACTTTAGTCATCTTTACTCATCTTTCTTAATTCCAGTTTTGTATCGAATATCTGGATGATAGGTTTCTAGAGATTGATACAACAGCATGGCCTGGGCTTGAGGAAACTGCTGGCCAGTCACAGGCCAAGCATCATGTTGGAGCGGTCTGTTCTTTCCTCTTTTCTTCTGCATATGATCTTATGCTCCCTCTAGTTCAAATCAAATGACTTAATGAGCGTTTCATAATTTTGAAAGTTTAGTTTAGCTGAGTTTGAACTATTTATGTACATTTTTGAATGCTTGTAAATTGTATATGTAATTCATTGCGTTATGTACAGATGAGCTTATTTCCTGAGTTTGAGCTGTTTCACTAAATATCTCCATATATTTGCCTTGTAAATTGTATATGTAATTCATTGCATGAGTATTTTAGTGCCTGTGGCACCTTTACCTGTCATAATTTTTTAAGGAGTACATTAATCAAGAATGGTTTAAGTACTAAGATCTCCCAAATTGACTCTTTTTCTGAACTTGGTTGATATTTTATAGAGTATTAGAGTGCCATTCTTGGAAAGCAATGTTTTCTGGAAATGGGGCTGCATGAACTTGAATTTTCATATTTGAAGTTACTCCCTCCGTCCCGCTGACAATGGAAGGAAGGGAGTGGCACGCATACCAATACAATCTCATAAAGTAGCAATTAAAGAGAACTATATTAATTTAATGCAAATAAATTAAAGACTAGTGGAATGCTAATGTTCCGTGTTTCTAAAAGTAAATTGGACAGGTCATTCCAAAAAGTAACTGCCCATTTCCAAAAAGTTAAAACCCATGTGCGGACAAAGATGAAAAATGAAATATTTTCCGTCACACTTGGCGGCCAAACCAAAAATTGAAATCATGTAGTCCGCCATTTGTGCACTGATGAGATCTTGAGGTCGGTTATGGAGAAATCATGCTGAGCTATGGAGAAAATTAAATGGAAGAGGTGAGTGGGTAGAACTTAATGGAAGAGGTGAGTGGGTAGAAATTAATGGAAGAGGTCGGTTCGAAAGATAAAGTAGTGGGGTAGTGTAGTGGGTAGGTGGGTTTAATTAATGTTAAAACAATTAAGAGAAGTTATTAACATAAAGTAAAGCAGTCACTTAAGAGATAAAGTAGGAAAAAAGTTTCCAAATATAGTATGGGACAATCATAGTGGGACGGACCGAAATGGTAAAACGGGACTATCATAGCGGGACGGAGGGAGTAAGTTTTTGCATTGATAATTGTGGAAGACTAATCCACATTGAAATCTATGCCTTTTTCCCCATTTTGCTGATATCCTTGTTACCCTACTTCAGTTCCTTAGGTTACTCTCTGAGGAAGGGCTGGATGATTCTTCTGAAGCACTTCACACAGAAACGGCTTTGGGTAACAGTATAGATGCTATGTCATCAAGCATGGAGAGAACTGTAGATGACGAGTCTGAAAAGGAGAAGCAACTTGAATATGAGAACGAATGTCGGGAGAAATTTTCAAATGTAAAGTCTGAAGGAGAAAATACACATGGAGAAAGTGAGCTGGAGGCCATTTGTCAACCGCCAAGCAACAGACATGCACATGTGGAGCCTATTAGTGGGTGTGATGAAAAACCAGCAACCGATGTGACAATGATTCCATATCACAGGAAGTTGACAGTTCTGTATGAACTGGTTTCAGCTTGTTTGGCAAACACACCAGATGACAGTAATAAAAGCGCTTCTACTCAACGAAAGAAGGGCTATGATGCTCGACATCGTGTGGCTTTGCGGTTACTTGCAACCTGGTTTGATGTCAAATGGGTTAAAGTGGTATGTACAATCATCCAAAAGATCGTAAGAAACTCTGAGTGCCACATAATCCAGTACCCGTTTGGGATGACTTCTAGAAAATTTTTTCCAGTTAAGTAGGATTTGTTTTCTGGAAAGCACCAAATTATTATTTTTGTTGCGGTTGAGAAAAGCGATTTTCAATCATATTTAAACTGAAGATTAATGATTTCCGATTCACTAAATCATATTTACTTCAATAAAAGCACATCATAAAAAAATTAACTGTGTGCTTTTATGAGTTTCAAGGTCATCCTAAACAGCCTCCTTGTTTGAATGAGACATTTTTACAATGATCTTTCGGTATCACGAAAACTACCTTTTTAAAATCAAATTAACTGTGTGTGGAACTTGAAAGCATGCTTTTGTTTTTGTTTCAGGAAGCCATAGAGATGATGGTTGCTTGTTCAGCAATGGCTTTATTGAAAGAGGAGGAGTCCAAGGAAGAAGCCAAATCTTCTAAAAGCTCATGGGCTAAGTGGAAACGTGGAGGCATCATAGGTGCAGCAGCATTGACCGGAGGAACATTGATGGCAATTACTGGTGGTATGTCATTTCCTACAATGCTATTGCAGATTTGCAGTTTGGGATACAGAATGACAGTGAATTGTTTTGACAGGTTTAGCTGCTCCAGCCATTGCTGCAGGGTTTGGTGCATTAGCACCAACATTGGGAACTTTGGTTCCTGTGATCGGAGCAAGTGGGTTTGCTGCTATTGCAACTGCTGCAGGCAGTGTTGCTGGTTCTGTCGCTGTTGCCGCATCATTTGGAGGTTTGAATAGACACTTATTCTATATTAAGATTTTTTTTTCTAGAAAAATGAGTTGAATACGTTCATGCTAATAATATGTTTTAGACTTTGAGAAATGTAATAGTGGAGTATGCAGGGGCGATCTTCGCTACTTTTAGCTGAATATGAAATATATTGTAATTTTTTTCTTTAAAACAAGTAAACAACACAAATAAAAGAGTAAATACTGCATTATCAAAATCAAAGTAATATTTAGTACATCTTTGTAACAACATAGATATGTTATAAGCAATTAATGTTAACTTACATATAGTGGAGTATGCAGGGGCGATCTTCGCTACTTTTAGCTGAATATGAAATATATTGTAATTTTTTTCTTTAAAACAAGTAAACAACACAAATAAAAGAGTAAATACTGCATTATCAAAATCAAAGTAATATTTAGTACATCTTTGTAACAACATAGATATGTTATAAGCAATTAATGTTAACTTACATATAAATTTCATTCAACTTTACTAAATATATCATATTAAACCCCATTCATACTCTACACATGCAAAATATTTGAAAATTTATTTTTATTTGACCAGACATTACATTTTTTTCTGGTATAAAAAGCTTTCTAAACAGAATTGTTTTGTGAGAGGAGTATAGTATATTCTCTCCCTCCCCCAAAACAGTCATGTTTGAGTAAGGGCAACTTATTTTTTAGTCATCTAAGGTTAATTATACCCCTATAACTTATTTGTATGATTGATTAGAGTAATTTAATAAAATTTGTTTGTCTCTAGGCTTTACAAGAATCATACCCATTTTTTGGAACACAAAAAACTTGTTGAAACAGGACTATCTTCTTTTGGAAGAAGGCATTATACTAGATGTGAACCATAAAATTCTGCCCCTCCAACATTTTCCAAAAGAGATACAAGCCTAGTTGGCCTTTAAGAAGGCACCATCTATCTATTTATATATAAGAAAAGAAATAGCTGTGCCAAATACCATTTTGCCCCTCCAAATGCTTACGTGTTGCTCATTCCACTTTTCTCTCCTTTGTTATTGTGATGCCACGTGGCCTTATAATCTCTTAAGGGAAATGGAGTTGGTGGTCCCATGTTGTAAAAACCTCCAAATTTCTTAAAAGTGTTATAACTTTTTCATTTTTGCTCCAATGTTTCTAAAAAATATATCAAAATTCATAATTTTTTGTGATCTTTCTAATGAGATCAATATTGAATATATAAAAATATAATTTACTAACGGCCTCAATAATTATGCTTAAAATTATTTATATTTAGTTACACCAATATTGTATATATAATTTTTTAAAAAAATATGAAGGTTTATCAAATCTTCATATTTTCCAACCACAATGTCAATTATTCCGTATTAAATGAATAAATAAATTCTAATATATAACTAAAATAAGGATAATAGATATAAATATGACTTATTAATTTTTTGTTAATATAATTGTGTTTCAAATTATATCAAAGTGACTATAAAAGGATACTCATATCCAATTTAGTTACATTGTTGTATATGCAATATTTGTTTTATGAAAGATCATAAAAAACTATGAATTTTAATATGTACGTTGTGATGTATATCGTGCATCTTTACCATTAGAAATAGCAAAGGAGGGTAGCTAACTCATGAGATGTGCAATTCAATCTGTAGAACAACAAATTACACACATGAATCTCATCATATTAGGAAATACCCCATGTCTCATAAAATTCTTTCCACTTACCATTTTGGGATATCCCAAAAAATTCTACTCATTTCCCCTTTTGGGGAGTTTTGTGTGGCTAAGATTCATTTACCTTTTTCTAACTGAATCACAATCTCACATTTTCACTTTATTCGTACTTTCTTAAACTCTGATCCAAGTCAAATCGAAAAGATTTTTATGGGATAGAGGGGGTATTATTATTTCCGACGAACCAAATGACCCTCAATAGTAAAGAGAATGAGATTTTGTTTTTTTGAAATACAGAATGAGAATCCTTAAAAAATCACATTTCATAGAAAATATAAATATATTTGAATTTAGTTATTATTGCAAACTTTCAATTTTGTACACACAAACGACGAGATAGACTTACGAATTGAAAGAGTTTCAGAAGATTCCTAATCTAGCGTCTGGAAGAATATTTGAACAAAAAATGCACATCTCTTACTATATAACGGGCCATGAAAGAGTTAAAATGAAAAATGAGCATATAAGCATTTTTGTATATAAGCATATCATTTTCATATTATTAATATTTTCTCTATATAAACATATAATTGGGCAAAGTTAGACTCCATTGACTTGAAAAGTCAAGATTGACCAAGTAAAATGGGACGGAGGGAGTATTATATATAGTGCTTTTAGGTGTAAGATACGTCGTCTAACAATTGAGATTAGGTCATAGTTATAGATTAATTCTTTACTTAATACGAGATGATTGATATCGTTGTTGAAAAATAGGAAGTTGTTTGATAAATCTTCAAAAAAAATCAAAATTACTGTCATATGAAACGTCACAAGAATTATGAATTTTAATATATTTTGTTAATATAAAAATGATTATATGCTCATTTTTCATTTAAAATTATGTGTTGTTTGGTGACTTTGTTTTTGTATTTATCAATCTTATCAGTCAATTTTGATATCGAGAACTTAATTGTGTAATGATCAAAATAAGAAAGGTTGAAGTTAATTTTTTATCTGAATTGAATGAAGTTATTATAAACGAAAATTTTAGATACTTTTTCAGACAAATGTTTATTTACTTTATCAATAAAATATATTTAAATTTAATTTTCCCATAATTGAGTATATTCAGCCAGTTCAGCGGTTTCAGCAAGAATTTTATCAATTTCAATAGATTCATCCATTTTATGTGTTACGAAACAACTCTAAATGACATTCTAAATGAAAAAGATGTTCAACATATGATAGTATTGTCAATGTAAAATAGATCAATGATTTTAAAATGTCACGTGATGTGATGAATTTGCTCAAATGAGAGTCATATGAGATATTAGCAGTGAGAAATATAAAGTCATACAATTGGCGGGGTCCAAGATATAAGAACCCCAATTTCTTCATCATAGCGTTATAACTTTTAAATATTTGTTGTAATTTCTACAAAACATATATCAAAATTCCTAACTTTTTATGATTTTTCATATGAGAACAATATTGCATATAGAAAATTTAAATAAAAAAATTTGAAAGTGTATTAAGTAACCTGTTAATTTTCCAACCTCGATACAGGCTATTCCTTATTAATTAAAGAAATAATTCCCAATATATGACTAAAATAAGGATATTGACTAAAAGTATGACTTATTAATTTTTAGTTACTATAATTATGTTTAAAATTATATCAAAGTCACTATAAAAGTTCATAGACAATTTAATTTTTTTATTTACAAATATCTATATATTGGAGAGGTTCTTCCTTATAGTTACTTTGATACGGAGTATAAAACTAAAATATATTTGTTTTTTGCTTGAAAACACTTATATTAAATTCAAAAATCTAACAACTAAACATCCTATATTCTGTCTACCCAAATATTTTCTCTAGACTCCTTATAGCCAATAGGCAACCTCACTCTCTGATTAGACATAGAATAGACTGCCCAATAATGAGCAAGACTAATCGCTGACCATGCGAGAGATTCAAATTAAAGCTATTATCGACCAAATTAGCATGCTTGCTTCCTCCCAAACTAAAAACTAAAGCCACAAAACAGAATTTTCTCTCTCATATGTAGTGCTTTTAGGTATTTGAAGATAAGTTTGCTAACATTTAGTGACTATAATAATAAAAAAACTAGCCCTTATATAATACAAAAAAGCTTATATGCTCATTTTTTATTTGAAATTATGTAGTACTTTTAGTTACAAGATAAGCCGACTAAGAATTGATCGGGAGAATTTTATCTCCAATATATAGTGGCTTTAGGTAAAAGAAGATAAGCTTTCTAATAAATGAGCGGAAGAATTTTATCTCTAATATATAGTGTTTCTAGGTATATACGGTATGAGAAGATAACCTTGCTAACAATTGAGCAGAGAAATTGAGCGAGAAAATTTTCTCTCATATGTAGTGCTTTTAGGTATCGGACGGGAAAACTCTCTCATATGTAGTTCTTTTAAGGATACGATAAGCCGGCTAACAATTAAGCAGAAGAATTTTGTCTCTCATATGTAGTGATTTTATGTATAATAAAATAAGCTTGCTAATAATTGAGCGGAAGAATTTTCTCTCTCACATGTAGTGCTTCAATGTATCAGAAGATAAGCTTGCTAACAATTGAGCAGACAAATTGAGCGGGAAAATTTTCTCTCATATGTAATGCTTTTAGTTATTATTAGAAGATATTTTGCTAATAATTGTGCGGGAAAACTCTCTCTCTCACTCTCATATGTAGTGTTGTTAAGTATAAGATTAGAAGATAAATTTGCTAATAATTGAGCGGTAAAAAAATCTCTCTCTCTCATATGTAGTGCTTTTAAGTATAAGATAAGATAATTGAGCGGGAAAAATCTCTCTCTCTCATATGTAGTGCTTTTAAGTATAAAATAAAATAAGCTGACTAACAATTGAGCGTGAGAACTTTATCTCTCATATGTAGTGGTTCTGAGTAACAGAAAATAAGCTTCCTAATGATTGAGCGGGAGAATTTCCTCTCTCACATGTAGTGCTTCTACATATTACAATATAAGTTTGCTAACAATTGAGCGAGGAAGTTGAACAAGATAATTTTGTCTCTCATATGTAGTGATTTTAGATATACGAAGATAAGAAGATAAGCTTGCTAACAATTGAGCGGACAAACTTTCTTTCTCATATGTTGTTCTTTTAAGTATAACACTCCAACTAACAATTGAGCAATAGAATTTTCTCTCCCATATGTACTGCTTTTAGGTATAAGTAGATATGTACGCTAACAATTGAGCGGGATAGTTCTCTCTCATATGTGGTGCTTTTAGATATAAGAAGATAATCTTGCTAATTATTAAGCGAGAAATATTTATATATTAATTTGTAATTAGATCATGAGTACAAATATATGCACCAACTCCTCTTTCCCGTGCGTATGCACGGGTACTATACTAGTTGTGCTTTAAAAGTGATCTTTAATTAAGAGTTAGATGATCTTAAATCAATGCTCCATCCTTTTTACAAAAGAGTCATGTCAAACACTTTCCCTCCCAAGGAGTTCTGTTTGATAAAAAGCTAATATGGCCTGTGTAATTTCCCAGAAAAAAGAACAAACATGTTACATATTATAAATTTGGTTAGAAGAACAAAACAGATATTGAAAAAATGAGTAGCATTCATGATTTTTGGAAATTGTACCATATAAAAATAGAGAGTTGTATGTTGGTTTAGCATAATTTCTTTTTGTGACTCAGGAAGTATATAATTATATGTATATTCTAACCCCATGCTTGTCCATTAACCCTTTCATGAACCAGCTGCTGGGGCAGGACTTACAGGAACTAAAATGGCCCGGAGAACAGGAGACATTGATGAATTTGAGTTTAAAGCAATTGGGGAAAACCATAACCAAGGAGTGAGTCCTTTGATTTATCTTCTGGTTATTATTGATCTTTCAACTACCAATGTATGTTTTGGCTTATGTTTTAGTTTATTATTTCATTTTGGTGTTGATCTCCTTCGCTCGTCTTAAATGCTTTTACGTTTATCTTAGGTTAGTTCTTTTGACATGTAGCTTTTTCCATTCAGCGGCTGGCAGTTGAAATATTAATCGCTGGATTTGTTTTTGAGAAGAGTGATTTTGTTAGACCTTGGGAAGGGCATCACAGTAACTTAGAAAGGTAGAAATTCATTCATTTGTATCTTTCACTTCTTTTGTACATTCATTATCACATGTAACTATATATGCCATTTCATCTCCATTTGCAAAGACCATCTTTTATGTCAATAAAACTCTCAGGTAGCTCTTAAATGGCAATTATGTATGCAATTGCATTTACCCCCACGTTTTGTAAGTATAATTATATCATTTGTGTAGGATGTTTTCCACTTAATTGGAAATAAACAATGATGGTGAAGATTTTGAAAATTCATTATTCTTTAGTTAAAAGGTTGCCACAATAAGGGCACCCAAAATTTTGTTTGTTAAATTGAGCCTTACTCACCCATACAAATAGTGATCTTTACCACACATTCTGAAGCTAGCCTCAAACCCAGTAGACTTACCTTGTGGGATATACTCAACCCTGTCATCCCAAACTGGACTGGGCAACTGAATGTGCTTACTACTTTTACTCAATTATTACTTGACACAAAAGTTCAAACACGCATAAAATATTGAATTATTACTTAATTTTCTTATGCATTTATTTCCCGGCCATTTTTTTTACTCAGATATGCTCTGCAGTGGGAGTCTAGGAATCTAATTGCTGTAAGCACTGCAATTCAAGATTGGCTTACTTCAAGTAAATGACCTTTTAACTTGGAGGCTTGTAGCTATACAGCATACCACCTGATTATTTTGATTACTTTAATGATGAAATGATTATCATCCTTCCAGGAATTGCACTAGAGTTAATGACGCGAGGTGCCATGATGACAGTATTAAGCTCCATTCTCACTGCATTGGCTTGGCCAGCCACATTACTTACTCTTACTGATTTTATTGACAGTAAATGGACTATTGCTGTAGACAGGTACTATTATCGTTTATGTCTCCTCTCCATTTCTCTTGCCACCAAATTAGAGAATTTTGTCATTTCTTGCCTATTTCTCTGCCTCATGTTTATCTCTTTTCCATTTACCCCAACTAAACGAAGTGTAATTGCTCACCTCCTCTGTTTTACACTTTTACATTATTAATAACACTTTCAGTGATCAATACCCCCTTCTGCTTACTTTAATAGGCCCGCTTTCCTTTAAAGCTAAAGGGTTAGATAGGCCCTTGTACGTGTCGCGTTTGTTTAATTTGGCACCTAAACTAAAAAAAGTTTCTATTCACACCCTGAATTAGCAAAAAAAATTCAAATTTAGTTTTTCCAGGTGAACGTCCAATTCCCACCAGTCACCCCTTAGGTGGCCAACTGTGCACCTGATGTGGAATCTTAAAGTTCAAATAAGTTTATAAGTACCCAAACTCATTGAAGTTGTTCAATTCACCCCGTCAACTTTAAAAAAGTTTCAACAACAAACAACAACATTACCCCAGTGTCGGTAAGGGGGGTAAGATGTACGCAACTTTACCCCTGTACTAAAGCATAGAGAGTCGGTTTCCGAATGACCCATGATGAAAATTGCGTCGAAAAGTGCATGGACTGACTGCTGCTTCATAACAAAGAAGCGCAGACAGTTTAGTGAGTCATTTTACTTTATTTCATCATATTTCCAAGCCAAAAAATATTGAGTCTTTGGCTCCATTGGAAATTCAAACTAAAAATTATAACAAAATAATAAAGAAAAGTATAAATACATACACTAAAAAATATAAATATCAGTATTTTTTTTTTCAGTTCATTCAATATATATATATAAAAATATAAAAAAGATAAAAATATACTCTATGTATATTTTTACATTAATATTTCACATTTGAGAGTATCTTTTATTTTATTTTATACTCCATTGGAGTATATTTTATTTTATACATTATATTTTATTTGATTTTGTTTTATTTTATTTCTATGTTATCATTTCTTTGTATTTAATATATTTGGTTTTTGATATTTTATACAGAGTATTATGTAAAAAGTTTCAGGTATCCTACTTTTTTTATGCATTGATATTTTATATATTTAAATTGCATTCCATTTTTTGTATTATATAAATATATAATTTGATTTTATACTTTAATGTATCAAAAGACAAATTCCTTGACTTTGTCATCTTATCCTCCCAACGTTTCCTACTTTTTTTCACATTCTCTCCTATTTTTTATTTTTTGTACACTATTCATTAGTTCTAACTGAGGGAGCCGTTAGCCTTACATGTTGGAGTTTGATTATCGATTCTAAATTTCTAACCATTACTTCTTTATTATTATGATAATTAAGAAACATTCATTGCTATAATCTCAACTATGGGCGGTCCACTTTTTATTAAACTCAATTATTGATTAATTTTGTATGATTCAACTATGGGGCCATCTTACAATACAGTGAGCGACCTATTTTAATTTGTTACCGCCGTTACTTTCAAAATGGTAGTTGGTGTGGTGTTTTAATAGTCCCAACTATGACAGTCTGCTTTTATTAGTCCTAACTAATTATGCGTTGGATTGCACATCCTTTACTCCCGTGAGTCACAACTGACATTGGCTGGAGAAGGCAGTCATGTTACACCGAGGGGATTCTAAAATTCAATCTCGGAATTGAAGATTTGTTGAATTGTGTTTCAGTTTGTTCTACTCTGATAACTATAGCTTGCCAGTCGTGAACTCTCGGGTAGGTGTCGTGCCTATTGCTGGAGCCGGCTCTCCTCAAGGATCTGCATTGAAGGAAAGGTGCTTCCACCGGACCACCAGGCCAGGCACGAAGAGAAAGGGATCTCAGAATCTGTATATTGGATCAGATTTAGGGAATTTGAATCAAACTTTATCAACTTTCATATTAACCCCATGGAATTAAACATGGTTGCAATTGAGCCTTGGTTTCTTATTAATTCGATCCTCTAGTTATACGAGCATTGCAATAACTAGTGAAATATATCCCAATTAAGCTCTAGATTAACATGACATATTGAGAATAAAATGATAAACTAGATTGTAATAAAGTTAATAGTAATGGAATGCATTACAGATGTAGATTTATCAATAACAAATTATTCAAGGAACGGGCATAGCTCTGATTATTTTAATCAAATCTTTATTATATTTTAATCAATGACATGTAACCGGTCACTCAGAACCTATGATGGGAAATAGACCCCATATTTTGGTTATAGATTTTTAATCGATAATTGAGATTAATAAAAGCAGGCATTTCATTGTTGAGATTATTGTAATGAGTTTTTCCTTTATAATTTGAAATTGCTATAAGTTGCCTCTCTCTCTATATAGATCTGATAAAGCTGGAACCCTGCTTGCAGAGGTATTGCAGAAAGGGTTGCAAGGGCACAGGTGCAACATTTTACTTTAATCTATATACTTGAAGAGTAAACATATAATTGAATTGCTAAATGTTGTCTTCTCTCCAAGGTCCTGGATGTTTATTATCAAATTAATTGTTGATTGCCTATGAAAATATCAGGCCTGTCACACTAGTTGGTTTTTCGCTAGGGGCAAGAGTAATTTTCAAATGTCTCCAGATTTTGGCTGAAACTGACAAGAATGGTAATTATCTCTTGTTGCTATACTCATTACTAATAATGACGATACTTATTTGCGTGTTTAAAAGTTATGCATTTTTTTTTAAATTTGAGCAGCTGGCCTTGTAGAAAGAGTTGTTCTTCTTGGGGCACCAATTTCAATTAAAGATATGAATTGGGAAGCCACTAGAAAGGTTTTGAATCCTCAAATGTTCCTCCAACCACTAGAAAGGTTTTGTCTCTTTTCCCATGCTTTATTAGCACACTAATTTTCTTAAACCTGACCTTTTACAGGTGGTGGCAGGGAGATTCATAAATGTATATTCTACAAATGATTGGATGCTTGGAATTGCTTTTCGTGCCAGGCGAGTCTCTTATTATAAATGCTTGCTCCACACAGCATACCTTAATTGTTAACTCCGTATTTTTTTCCTTTCCAAAATAATTATTAAAATACCCCGAACTAGAGAATTCATACATCTGACAATTCAAGTCATCCCACACTCTGGACAAATACAAAAGTTTTAACCAAAATATACAGCCGTGGTCTAGCTTCTATATATAACCATCATATGACACTAATTTAAGACCATGTCACAATAGCTCAACTGAGGAATTTGATAAAATGAGAAAACAAATTTGAAGATTGGTTTGGTTACTAGCACCTTCTTGTGTAGTATGTTCAGCTATCATGCATCAAACAAATAGAAAAATACAAAGTAACCATAAGGGCCTTATTGTTACTTCTCATATAATAATGTTAACCTTGTAGTATAGAACCTCATGTTTTGATATGGCTTTTGGTGGAGCATTTCAGCTATCACACATCAAACCTCACGTTAACCATTCGTCTTACTTTTCATATAATGTTAATGTTTTAGTACTCCGCCTCACATTTTTACATGACTTTTGGTGGAGTATGCTTGACTACCACACATTAAACAAATATAAAAAGACATAGTAACTATAAAACCTTATTCTTACTTGAGTTACTTCTCATATAACGTTAGTCCCAATTAATCCTGAACTAAGAGCAAGTCCCATTCTAAGCATTTACACCCTAGCTGGCATTTTAAAACATTGCATGCTTGTTTTTATGTTATAAATGCTTTTGGTTTGTTTTGGCAGTCTCCTCACACAAGGGCTTGCTGGGATTCAAGCAGTAGACGTCCCTGGAGTTGAGAATGTAAGTCTCCAGTGGAATTCAAATTTCTCAGAAAAAGTTTTTATTTTGTGTGGTGGGTGTGGGTTAATCGGATCCTATGTTAACAGGTTGATGTAACAGAACTTATAGATGGCCACTCTGCATATCTATGGACTAGCCGACAGATCCTAGAACTGCTTCAGCTGGATACCTATTATCCTGTTTCAGCCCTTTCAGGTCGTGCATTTGTCAAGAAATAGGGATCTCCGTAAAGAGTATGCTGCTGATTTTCAGGAAGCAACCACCTCATATTCATGTAGCCAGTTCTGTGAAGTGGTTTCATCCTTTGGATCATGCACTTGACAGCTCAGGAGCCATGCGCTCTATCAATTACACCTACGTGCTCCTTAAATTTTCTTGTTGCTAGTTCTTTTGGAGTGCTTGTCAAAACCGGGCACAAAAGTTACAAGTCACAAGTTGAGGGGTTCTTTTTCTTGTAACTAGGAAGTATGCCTTGCTCGAGTTGTAATCATGTTATTTGGGGGATGTATATTGGGGCTGCAATTTAACGTGTAGTAACAACTAACAAACACGTATTGTTATTTGTTACAATGGCTTTGGCATTTTGAAAATGATGTAAATAAATAGTTCGTATATTTGTTACAGTTTTAATGTATTTTTCATCAATGAGTTTGGATACCAGACCCAACATTCACATAACTTAATGGTATGGCAAATCCTTGCATGCTATTAAGCGGCTTGTACTATTCATTGACTATGGAATAACGTTTATATGCTTACACATTCCTCAGCTGATGAAATATTCTAACTTAATGATAATTACTAGGGTAGTATGCTTCAGTATAATCAACAACAAGCCCGTCTAGCTCAGTTGGTAGAGCGCAAGGCTCTTAACCTTGTGGTCGTGGGTTCGAGCCCCACGGTGGGCGATTGATCATTTTTTTACTCGTTTGTATCTGTATTGAGGAGTTGTATTGTATTTTTTAAATTGCTCGGAAATATCAGCCAAAAGCCCGTCTAGCTCAGCTGGTAGAGCGCAAGGCTCTTAACCTTGTGGTCGTGGGTTCGAGCCCCACGGTGGGCGGTTGATCCTTTTTTTACTCGTTTGTGTCTGTATTGAGGAATTGTATTTTATAAAATGCTCGGAAATTTCAGCCAAAAGCCCGTCTAGCTCAGCTGGTAGAGCGCAAGGCTCTTAACCTTGTGGTCGTGGGTTCGAGCCCCACGGTGGGCGTTTGATTTTTTTTACCCTGGCTTTTTTGGCACACTCTTCAGAAAAAGGATCCAAATACAGATCAATATTTTTTTCACAATCTTCTTACGAAGTTCTTGGCACTGCTCTACACTTGTTGATTTTGAACGAAATATGCAATAAAAGTCGATCACCATTGAACAGATTGTGGCCAACGATACCTTTTCACATTCAGCTGCCATTTATTCCAGCAAAGCATCGTTGATCGCCGTCAGATGGCCGCATATGCGGCAAAGCGCACCGGAGTGCATTTGCTAACGCGGTTCGCCGGGCTAACTCGATTTGATAGCTCCCGGAGTTTATGTCAGCACTCGGGCTCCCACGGCAAGGGATTCTTCTTCGTGGACACTCTGGCTCTTGTAAATCGTCATTTCTCCTAATTATTTGGTTCTTCTCGAATTGGACTTTATCCTACGGTTTTGCTTGGGAAATTTCTTTTCCCCTAAAAATTCTATTTGTCTTGGCTTTCAAGGTTAGGAAATTGGAAGCTCAAGGAGTGCCTTCGAAGCAAGCGGAGGCCATCACAGCTGCTATAACGGAAGTCTTGAATGATAGCTTGGAAAGTGTAGCTCAGTCACTTGTTTCAAAATATGAATTGCAGAAAGTAAACCTGGGATTTCTGTTAGAAGAAGCAATTTTTTTGCAATAGATTTAAGTTTATATTAGGAGCTGGTAGATATTGGTTTTCCAATAGTTTGCTTGGGTTATAACTAGCTGGTAGATATTGGATTTCCAATAGATATTGGATTATTACTATAATAATAATCCGGTGTGGAATTTTACTTGCTTTTTTGTCTCTTCGTCTAGATTGAAATGACTCATGAAGCCAATTTGTCAAAATTCAAATCCGAAGTTCAGAGTTCTCAGGTAATTGTTGTACAACAACTATTTATGAGAACAATAGAAAGTATAAACAACAAGTATGGATTATTGCTGCTGGCCCTAATGAACAACACTACAACAGCATATTTGACAGCTTTAAAATTTTGATACTGTCTTAATCAATTATATAGAAAAGAAGGAATTTTCATGCTTAGCTCACTTGCTGTGTACATATTTGGTCTTAATATTGTAGGAATCTCACTTCTCTGTGTTGCAACATGAGACTGAAAAGCTCAAGAGTGATATTGAAAAGATGCGTAGTGAATTGAGGTTTGTTTGAAATCTGCAACTCACTGCTAAACTGTTTTCAGTTCCTAATTTTCTATTCCCTTGTCCCAAAGAATGTTTCACGTGTGGGTTACCTATCTTTTTTTTCTGGAATGATTCTTTTTTTATTTGTTTTGTTTATTTGATTGGATAGGAATTACCTTGTTAAGGCCCTATCAATCGAATAAAACCTAAGATTCCTATTTAGAACCACGATGAAAAAATTGAAACGCAATCAAGGATTCCCTGAGTAAGAACCTTTTTAAATTAACTTTAACCATACTAAATTTAAAGTCATAGGATCTTACATTTTTCTTCAAAACCGTCTTTGTTATTCTGACTTAATTAATCATATTTACCTTGTTTGAAACTTTGAATCTTATTTTGGTAAATTACGCGAAAACTTATTTTCTTTTGATGAAATAGAACTTTATTTTGAGTACCAAAAAAAACTTTTGTAATATTACCGAATAGTTGGTTTCACCTCACTGGGAGTGTGATATATATGTATTATTACATGGAACTAGGTATGAAATTGACAAAGCAACTGCTGGACATAGACTGGATCTGAATCTTGAGAAGGGGTAAGCAATAGCATGCACTCTCAGTTTTTATGACTTCTTTGACAATATTCTTCTGCATACCAACTGCTATATGGATGTCCTTCATTTAAGTCTTTTTTTTTTGCTGTTGCAGGAGAATTCGGGATGAGTTAGCAAATCAAAACCAGGAAACAACTAGCCTTACAAACAAACTTGATAGAGTAAGTACACACCGATCTATATAACCACTTACAACATCTTCCCCGTGTATTTTATCTTGCAAGGGGAAATAACCTATTTACCTCTCTGATGATTGCTGTATCTAGAGCTCCCCAAAATTCGAATCTTTGGTGAACTGGAAAATTTCATTCATACAATTTTTTATAGTAAAACCTTTACACAGAGAAAACGTGTTTTACTGTAGTTTCAAATTAGGGTGGGTCTCGGATGGATTGGTCCGTATCTATGTCAATGGATATGTTGATAATGATGGATTCCCGAATGTGTAGCTTAGTTGGTAGTTGGTAGTTTGTACTCAGGGTGACAATTTGGAGCGACAATCCAGGGTTGAATCTTGTCAGCAGTGTGCAAATCTAGTTATTGGATGTTTGGATCAACTAAGTCACCTTGATTTGACTTCCCACCTACTTCATTGGGTAGGGATGTGAGGTTCATGGGGTGAACATTCCACTCTCGAATCATGATGGTTTCAAATTTGATTTCATTAGTCCTGTTTAAAATGGGTGTGACACGAGTAGCACCTGAAGTAAAATCTTGTCGCTGCTTAGTTGCATGAGATATAGTGTTACCTAAATTTATCGATTCTGACAAATTTCATGTAATCGACCCAACTGGTTCGGATGGTGATGATTATCGAGAGTCTAGATTTTATACCGATACATGGTTTCGGACTTTCAGAAAGGCGAGGATCATCAGATCCACTTGCAGCCCACTACTAAAGATGTAGTGGGAATGTTGAAGTTGTTGGCTTGTTGCTCGAATTTTGAAACTTTGTTTACTGTTTTGTTATCTTTTATTGTTGTTGCAAACATTGTTAAGTTTGTTTAATGTTATTGAAGTTATAAAAGTTAATTGTTTAATATTATACTTGTATTAATTATATTTATACTTAGTGTTTTCAATATGTTTATGGTTCACCGTACCATAAACAGAGTGTACAGCGTACCGCGTACCGAAGAAGCCTACCCCCCTACGTATCGGATTTCTAATTTTGGCGATCTGCATTCCCGTTTTCGTACCGTGTACCCAAGCGTTCCGCAATCCATGTGACTATGAGTGGGATCCATAATAGAAAGCCTGAGATAGGCTGAGTATCCATCCTTACTTAAGACAGAGGATCCAATCATTCGAGTCATGTAATTGGTGTTGTGGCATTCATTCTGTGTTTATTTGTTGGATCAGGAGATTCACGCTCTAAGGGCGCAATTGGAGGCAGCTAAATACGATGTGATAAAATATTGCATAGGCACTCTTGTTTCTATATCTGCTGTTGGCTTGGCTGTAGTCCGGATCCTCAAGTGATATGTTGCTTTGCCCTGATTTCTTAATTGCCAGAGGTTAGAAGAGGCTCCTTACCCTTCGCCATTCATGATAACTGGAATGTTTATTGAAGAGAAGTAGAACCACATAATAGTGCAGAGGGAAGTGCTTCCTGATTGGAAATGTAATTGTATCTTTAGTATGTTATGATTCGCCCAATCACTTCAGAGATGAGATTTTGCTTTCTCCATCACATTGTATCAATGCTTTGGGTTCATGGCAAAATATTTCAGTCGAATTTAATGCATTTTCCCAGTTTCATATACTGCCAGTCACTGTTCTTCAGCGGAATTGAATCTTTTGCTTGAGAAAGTTCTCTAAATAACAAGTAGGGGTCGGAATAGGACTAATATTGTCCCATGAAAACAAGATTCATTCACTTGTATACTTTTGTTCCTATTTAGAACTAAATTAGTTGTATTTCTAGCCAAAGCCAGGATATTCCTATTTGTAATTTGTTTTTATCCCCCGCACGGGTTCCGACTAAGGATGTTTTTACTTGGACTGTAATTTGCTGGTCTGGTCTGGTCTGGTTTCTTTGTATTTTTATAACTATCTAAGTCTGGTCTGATCTGGTCTGGTCTGGGAGGAATTACAGTCCAAGTAAAAACATCCTAAAACTTCATTTATTCAGTAAAAGTGGTTTTCTTTCTCAAATCAAATGTAAACAGACAGTTAAGATGAACGATATGAGGCACGTCTGTTTGTTGATTTAGTTATTTATTTTCAGAAGGTTTCTTGACCTTCCTGGTTGAAGTAAACTTGCATCTTACATTATTAATACAAAAAGTTTGGAGCTACATTCGTTCAGTATATTGCATAGTTATTAGTTATTACGACCTTGCCATGTCGGCAGGGGCGGAGCCAAGGGGGGTCAGGGGGGTCAGCCGACTCCGTTGAAAGTTTGAGAGTATAGAGTTCTGAAATATCTTTGATTTGATATATTATGGTCCTCGTAACTCATTACGAGTAAAAAGTTATGACTTCTGCAAAATCAGAACCATCTAAACGTAAAATCGGCAAAATTTGATGCATACTATAGATTATTTCCCCAAATTCTAAAAATAAGGATATAATTCACTCAATACTTACGTGACACGATTCAGGAACATAGTAAAAATAATATATCTTATTGCTACGAGTGCCTATTTATCTAAACTACATATGAAATATTCAACTCGAACATTGTTTAAAAACGATCCACCATTTTCATTCTGTATATAGGTTGAGATTCGATCCCCTTGAACCGTTTTTCTTTCTCCACCATTGCACGTAGGTGCTTTGGCGCTGATCAGGAAGGCCGCCATGGAGGTGACATAGTGCAAGGTGACATAAGTGCATGATCCTATCACACTTATTTTTGCCAAATTTAAATGCCATCCACAACAAAAGAATATAAAGTCTCAAGTTGACATTTGTGCATAATAGAAAAATATATTCCCTCCTTTCTTAATGTATTAATAATGGCCGATGATGCAATAGAAGATTAAAAAAAAATAAAAAAATAATGCATTAATAATTTTTTACAGTATTGTCAAATGACCTTTTTATTTCAATATTACTAAAATGAATCAAAATGACAAAAATGTGACCTCTTGAATTTTTCCAAAAAAGTGACTAAAAGTCATTTATTCCTTGTATTTTATCTTACATTTATTATTTTAATATTCTTTTTATATATTTGATTAGTAATCCATATTTTGTAGCCACCATCACCTCCGTGGCCGCCGCCACCGTCACCGGCACTGCCGCCACCGCCATCACCGGAACTGCCGCCGCCGCCATTACCGGCACCACCGCCGCCAGTCACTATCTCAGTGACTTCACCCGTCACAGTGACTGCCTGTCAACCATAGTGACTGCCCGCCCACCAGTCACAGTGACTGCCCACTGGTCACAGTGACACGCCGTCTCCGGTGTCACCTGCCCACTCCCTCCCCCGTTCCCTCAGCCCCATCCCTAGCCTACCCCGCCCTAGCAGCACCGCCTACCATCACCACAGACCGCCGCCGCAGACCACCGCCCCACCCCCAGTCACCTCCCCACCCCCTCCCCAGCCCCAAGCCACCTCCCCATCCCCCAAAGCCCCCTCTCCAACCCCCAGCCCGATCACCGCTTTGGCGCTCCCCCACCCCATCTCCCTGGCCCGTTTCATCTCCCTAGCCCCACAACACCCCTGCCTAGCAACAATGCACCCCAGCCCCACCCAACCACGCCGCACCACAGCCTCACTCCAAACAACGCCGTACCACAACCCCACTTCTACTCTGACCATCCCAATCCAGACCCCTAATCCACACCTCTGCATCCTGCCCGTCGTCGTCATTCCGGATCCAGATCTGGAAATCGCCTCTTCGATCCATTGATTAGGTAAAAGCCCCTTCGACCTGCGTCTTGCCGTATCATATCGTCAATGGTGGTCCAGATCTGACCGTCGTCACCATCTCTCGGTCACAGAAAGATGAAGAAGAAGAAAACAAACATGGCGGCGACGATGGCACAGCTTCAATTCGACGAATACAAGGAGGAGAAGGCGTTGTAGATTTGACGACGCGGTAGGAGGTCGGCGATGCAGAGAGGGCCATGGGTGACGACGTCGCAGAGATGCGAAGAAGATGCAGAGTCGGTGCTGCGATGAAGATGGGAAGGAGCGTATCTCGCGGCGTGTCACTTTTTTGGAAAAAGTAAAACCTGTTATATTTTTGGAAACGTAAAGCCCGGTAGTAATATGCCTGCCATTATTTCTTGTTAAATTTTAAATCTCATACTGATGTCATCACGATTTCATTGCCACATCATCATTCATCACGACATCATCACTATGTCATCGCCATGTCATCACGATATAGCCACAATGTCATTGCTGCATGCCTACATTATTGTGGGATGATCACAATGTCATCATCAAGACATAGTCACCATGTCATCGCCACGACTTCACGATATATTCATAATGACATTGTCACACCGTCTAACTTTCAATTTTATTTCTTTTATACATTATCTTCCCTCACTCCAACCAACAACTACCACACTACCATCTGCAACTCTAAGACACCACCAGCCAACTCTATTAAGTTAAATATCCTACAAGTTCTGCAAGATCCCAACTTTGTTTTAAAAATTGAGGAAATCACCATTAACTACCACCGCCCTTAACATAAGAATGCGAACATACATTTGACTTAATGTGATGCACAATGGAGATCGCTTGACTCACTTTTTAACTTTACTCAAACCAAATCGATATTAAATGCCTAGTAAATGCCTATTATAGTACGTCTACACCATTGCTCATTTCTTCAAATAATTATAAATTATAGTGAGTAATGCCTAGTATAGTCTTATAGACATGGCCACATGGGGTGATATATAGATGTATAATTATAGTCATACTCACTTTGTTTGACTTTGTAGTCCGTCCTAATAACGTTCAAAATAACGTAACCACTGTCTTTTTTATAATTATAGTCTCATTGATTCATTATATAATAATAATAATAATAATAATAATAATAATAATAATAATAATAATAATAATAATAATAATTACGTAGTATAATAATAACTTGGGCATTTTTTATAGGGAGTGTCATATTAATGTGCAGTTGAGACGTGGGGTAGGAACCGCTCTGAGTCGAACCGCTAAGGGCGCAGTGAGTCCAAACACGTCCTCCATATTCAGCTCACTCGCCTTCATCCCATCCGCCAATTCCCACCTAAAGCAGTGAAGAAGTTGGGCCACCGCCATCTCCAAAGCATACAGGCCCAGTTGCATTCCCGGGCAGGACCGCCGGCCCGACCCGAACGGTATGAACTCGAAGTTGCTCCCTTTGAAGTCCGGGGCCCCCTCTTTGAGGAACCGCTCGGGCTTGAAGCTGTGCGGGTCGGGCCACGAATTCTTGTCACGTGCGATGGCCCATGCATTGATCACGACTCGTGACTTCGCCGGGATGTAGTAGCCGTTGACTTCACACGCCTCCGCCGTCTCGTGGAGGAGGAGGGGGATCGGCGGGTGCAGCCGGAGAGTCTCCTTTATGCAGCATTTCAAGTATGTCAGTTTTCCCAAGTCGCCTTCTTCCACTTTCCGGTCGAAGCCAACGACGGCGGCGAGCTCTTCTTGAACCCTCTTGAGATTCTCCGGCGTTTTCATCAGCTCCGCCATGGCCCACTCGATTGCCGATGCCACGGTTTCCGTGCCTCCGAACATCACATCCTGAAAACATTATTTATAAAAGTTACTCCACGCACGTATTACCTCCGGCCGACTTTCACGAGTTTGAAGCAGGTAAGAAATAAGAAAAGAAAAAATGTGTGATGTAAGTTTTGCGCAGAGGAAAAAGAAACAAAAAGAAAAAGTTGGCAAAATCAAATAAGTCGGAGGGAGTAGTATATAAATAAAATAAAAATAGTGAATAAAATATGACTATAGTAATCTTATTGACTATAACTATATCATAGTGACTATAAAATTTATATAAGTAACTCATAAACACATTTTTATTCATAAAGTTTTTATTAGTAATATTTTAAGAAAAAACTTCGTATTTGAATGTCATTAGAAATGTTTTTAATACTACTTCCGTCCCAATTTACTTAGCCATCTTTGACTTTTCCACTCAAAGATAGTAAACTTTGAACAATTATTGTAATTAATATATTTATACAAAATTTAATAATTTTATTCTTTTATAATAGTATTTTTAACAAAGAGCATTTCATATCATTTTCATATTACCAATATTCTCTATATAAACATATAACCGGTCAAAGTTAGACGTCATTGACGTGAAAAGTCAAGTTTGACTAACTAAAATGGGACGGAGGGAGTAAATGAGAAAACTACCCACTAGTATGACATCACTTTTTTTCTAATATGATGTCACATAACATATGGTTTATATTGTTTTTCTAATACTAGTATGTATTAATATCATTAGGAATTCTTTTTTTTCCTAGTATGATGCTGCCACATAGCATATGATTTACTACTTTTTCTTGTATGATGTCACATAGCATATGATTTACATTTTTTTTGTAATATGTATTCATATCATGAGGCATTTTTTTTTTCTTTTTTATGATTTGTAAAAAATATTGAATTTCATACTTTAGCCCCACAAGATATGAATTTTCAAACGCCTAAAATTATATTAATGCAATGTAAAATTACTCCACAGGTTTTTATGTTTTTCATAGGCAACGTTTGTTTTTCGGCGGTTTCTTGTCTACCCGCTACAAATTATAGTGTTTTGCACTTCAAAGCAATCAACGAATTGCTCAAACCGCTGCTATCCAAACAGGGCTGTCAAATCAAATAATGGAATTCATAATGTAGGGGTTAGGGTTAATATGTCTTCCCGTTTGGTTCGACTTAATTAATTGTACAATCCATTTAATGCAACAGTCAACTAAAAATTCAGTCTTACTCGTTAGATTTATTAAATAATAAAGTTTTGTTGACCTGAGAGTTTTGGTTTGGTAGCAGGAATTTTATGACTAATACTCGTCTGTAATTTGAATAGACTTTAATTGGTACAAAACTAATTAATTCATTTCATTACATTACTAAATTAAAAGTAACTATCTTTTTCCTCAAATGGTTGATAAAAAATGATACAAAAACTCTGATCTCATACCCCCGCCCGCTTTCAAAATATATTTTCAAAATGAAAAGCGAAACATATAATAAAGAACGGAGGAAGTATATGTCAATTGGAAATGTTTCCTACAATGAACAATTTTTACCATTCAGATCATTTTTTTGCAATATATAATTTTCAAATAAAAAAAATCACAAAAATAATTTTTTTTGTCTTGAAAAATACAATTTCGGGCTGGTCGTAGGGGTTTGAAAACCACTTCGGCGCTAGCCCTAAATTTCTCTAAAATTCAAAAAGTAGAAAATAACGAAAACTAACTAAAGTAGCCGTTTACTATAATGTATTCCGTTTTCAGAAGATAATCTAGCTACTTTAAAAAGCAGAAAAAAACTTCCCAAACCAAATATGAAATAAATCTGTGAGAGCATTTTCAATTCCATGTTTTCAAAAGTTGTAACAAAAGTGCTTTTTGGTTGTATAACTTCTACTCCGTAATCAAGTATATATGATCATTAGCTCCATCATTACATAGATAACTTCATCATAAAAGAAGATGCAAAAACTTTTTTTAAATTTAATGTAAAGTTCTAAAAGAAAAATTACGTAAAGCTGCCAGTTAATTAAATGCCGCTTCCTATGCACTCTACGTCCCTCAAAATTTTGTCAAATTTGATTGATATCAAAATAATAAAGTAAAAATTGTATGATTAATAATCTGTATTATATTTGTGGTGATAAAAAGAAATGATAAGAACATCAAATTTATTGATTACAAGGAAAAGTCGAAAAGTGACAAGGTTTTTGATGTATAAATCTGTGTTAAATCTATGTCAATCTCGTAATTTTTTGTAGTGGGAGTTTATATTTCAAAAACTGAATTCCAAGTTTCAGGTTCTTAATAAACCTTAATGTTAATTATTGTATCATTAAAAACAACCTTAACGGTTATTTAACTCACATAGTCATATTTCCTAAAAAAACACATTGCCATATGTACTTGAGAAGGCATGGATAGAGAAGGAACTATATAGGAAAGAGAATTAATTAATTAATTAAAAGCGTTTAATTGCATAACTAAGGAAGTTTACCATATATACATGACTTACCATTATGATGGCTTTGATATTATCCCTTGTGAGCTTAATGGCATTCATTTGAATATCTTCTGATTCATTCACTTTCCCTTCCTCACTGTAAAATGCCAATAGCTCATCCACCATATCGCTGCCGGACTCGTCACCGGAAACTTCTTCTTCAGGACATTTTCTCTTATGAATGTGCTCGTCGATGACCGTATCGATGAAACGGTCGAGCATCGCCCTAGCCTTAGCGAGCCGAGGGTTTAGCCGCTGCATGTCGGCCCACTTGAGCCAAGGGAAAAAATCGGACACATTGAATGCACCAAAGAGTTTAGAGAATTCTTGAAGAATGCAAATGAAATCATCTTGTCCTTCTTTCGATCGGGACCCGAACGCGGCCCGATATATGACATCCTTAGTGAGCCCAAACACCAGTTCGCCTATATTCACGGGCGAACCAGTGCTCATGGCCACAATTCGGATAATTTGATCAACCTCTTCACGAACCGAGTCCCAGGACTCGATTCGCCTGCGACTAAATAGCTTCATAACGCACACCTTCCGCATTTTGCGCCAAAAGGGCCCGTAGTGAGCGAAGGCCATGTCGGCCCGATCATACGTCAAGTAGCTAATGGCGATGGTTGCGGGCCGGTTCGAGAAGACGTTATCGTGTACTTGGAGAACTTGACGAGCTTCATCCGGGCCAGACACCACAACCATGTGGAGCGAGCCCATCCGTGAGTGCACCAAGCCGCCGTATTCCTCCGCCAGCTTGGCTAAGCCACGGTGAGAGTAGTGATCCATCAAGTTCATGTATCCGATCAACGGCCAACCTTTCGGGCCCGGAGGATAGGGTTTCCGGCGAAACCTCAAAAGCAGAAACAACAACAAAGGGACGACCGCAAAATATATGATGACCATGGAATTTTGTGTTGTCTCTGAACATTGTGCTAGAGAATCCATGTCCGGTCAAGTACTATATTTAAGTACGTATAATTAAATAATAATAGTAATAACAATACTAAGAACAAAATAAAAATATTTTCCTCTAGGATAGTGTATTCAATATTGCAACCAGGAATGAATGCTACTGGTTTGGGTTGGGGATATGAGTTCTTTAATTTATACACGAATTTTGTTCGTTGCGGGTCCTACAAGTACGTAGCTGATAAGTGTTACTAAATTGAAAAAATGATTACGAAATGCAAATTAATACTCCCTCCGTCCCGTTTGAATGTTCCCGGTTTGACCTACACACATATTAAGGAAATAAATTTACCAGGGGGTATATTATACTGTTTTGACACTGTTTTAACACTGGTAAGCACTGTTTCGACACTGTTTGACACTGTTTTGCACTGTTTGACCCTGTTTTGATGTAGAATAACTTTCCATTTAGGGAAATGAGAACTTTCCAACGGAACATCCAAAAAATGAAAGCGGGAACATTCCAACGGGACAGATGGAGTATCATGCATAGCCATTACTCCATGGCCTCTATTTTGTGTTTTACTCGTACAGTGGAGGACCTAATAAGGGGGCTAGGTGGGGCACTTTGACTCGCTTCAGGTCCAGAAATTCACTAGTAGCACTTAAAATAAAAACCAGTGCCCCACTTCGGACCTAGAGTTTTTATTATAGGCTAAGTTTAGTGTTTAGTGTGTCCCGCTCTCACAAATCTCTAGGTCCGCCACTGTACTCTATATTAATGAGATAAGATAATCAATAGTATCAAAATCAAATTTTATAACGTCTAATTTAATATAAAGGGAAAAACTCCCGTGATTTAAAAAAACACGCCAAATAGATATTTTTTAAAATATGTTGGAATTAAAGGTTGCATTGACTATCACATTAATTAAGAGTGGATAAAAGTCCTTTAAAAAAAGAAGAAGAGTGGGTATAAACATGTTTTTATAAAGTTATATACATTTGTACCCAACCAAAACGACACCATTTAAATATGATAGGGTCTCATTTTGATTTTTAAGAATCGATCAATAAAACTAAAATATTTGGAATTTTTATACTTTGGCCACCTCAATGAAACTCTTATTCATGCATCCCAACGTTTTCTAAAGGTTATAACTGAGTGTATTTTATTTTAGAGAGAGAAAAATAATTAAAATACTCCAAATTTTGAAGAGGTGTAAAATGAACATCCCAAACTTGCATATGTATGTTAATTAAAAACCCCAAATTTTATATGAAAATTTATTTTGGCACCATAATCAAGTATTCCCTCCATTCCTATTATAACTTCCAACTTTCCTTTTCCGTCCGTTCCAATTAAAACTTCCATTTTCCCCTTTTTGGTAAAGAATTTTTGATTCACAACATTTCTCTGTGTTTTGCACAACTCTCCACCACACAATACCCATTATCTTAAATTGCGTGTCAAATCAATTTGGAAGTTATAATAGGAACGGAGGTAGTATTACTTTTTTCAAAAATGTAAATTTATGGTGTTAATTGCATAATTTAAAAATATTTTAGAAATCATGAAGACACAATTAAAATTAACATTATCAACTTTCATTGCGAAATTAATAATGTTACACCCAATCTATATAATTGCTACACTTTTAATTTACTATTTTAAATTATGCAACAAACGCCATAAGTTTACATTTTTGAAAGAAATAATACATGATAATGGTGCGAAAATAAATTTTTATATAAAATTTAGGTATTTAAATTACATACGCAAATTTTGGATGTTTACTTCACACCCCATAAAAGTTTGGGGTATTTTAATTATTTTTCCCTACTCTTATTTGTCTTATGTTATTCTGGTGGCATGATATTAGGATATATAAAGAGAGAAACTCATTGTAAAAATACAATCACGCATTGTATGAGTTTTTTTCAAAGGAAAATGTCAATATTATTTAATTAGGAATTTTATCAATCCAGGACGACCCGAAAGATAGACGAATTAACAATACGAGACCTGAAAGATGAAATGTATCGATATAATAAGACCCAAATGATGGAAAATTACCAATTCAGGACCTGAATAATTGAAAACAATCAATCTATGACCCAAGTTGTCATGATTTTATTTAATTTTAAATATTATTTAGTTCTATTAAACTAATAAATTTTTGTGAAGAAAAGTTTATAAAAAATTAGCAATGGGATTAATAAAATATTAAATAAATCAAAATCTATGAATTGTTAGGTCCTAGATTGATGGTTTTCCATCATTCGGGTCCGGCTTATACTGATACATTTCATCTTTCGAGTTCCGGATTGATAATTCATTTGTTTAATTATATTACTTAATAAACTAAAGGATTATTATCTTATTTTATCTCAAACTATAATCAAATTCACAAATCTATCCTACACTTTCATTTTTATCAAAAAAAGACTTAAACTTCATATTTTTCAACAATTATGTTTTTCTTGTTTGTTTTTTCAAAATTACACATTTTTATCAATACCAATAAGATATAAGCAATACAATTTTGTAAACTTAAAACTAGAAAGAAGTGAAAAAATATGAACTATAAATATAGTTTTCTTCTTAATTTTTACTAATTCATCCATTGAAAGTGTAATTATGAAAAAAGTTGAAGTTTGAGTTTTTTTTTTAATAAAAGTGAAAATATGAGATAAATTTGTGAATTTCATGATAGTTGGAGATATATTTAGCTAATAATCCTAAACTAAATATATTTGATAACTATCATTTTAGTTCAAACTTCTTTCCATTCTAGTAAGTATTTTGTACTAGTATTAGTTAATTTGCTTGATCAAGTTAAGAGGAAAAATATATTTCAATAATAGATTAATCATTAATAGCTTTAATACTCCGTATTTCAAAAAATTGCAAGTACGTCACTAACGATAACACACGCTACTTGTCTGCCGCAATCTAAGTTTTTGTCGCGGTTGTAATTTGTTTACACGCCCCGTAACAAGTCCGTAATTTCTGATCTCATTTCCTTCTTTTTTAATGGAGATAAAGGTCAGATTCGTCCTCGAATTTGCATAAAAGAGGTCAAATAAGTCCCTATATAGGAGACTCTGTCCGACCGTCGTCATTTGGAGAGGTTTCCGGTTGAATTTTTTGATGGATTTTTTGAGCATCTTATTCATTAAGTCTAGTTTACTCATACCAAATTTCAGCTAAACATCAGTCGAGAAGACATTCAAACAAAGTCTTGAAGATAACTGCGCAGTTACCTTCAATATTTCATTTTTGGATAGAGTACTGGTTTTGTATGTGAACTTTGACCTTTGAATTTAGAAAGTAAAGATATGTTTGGATTTTGAGCTTTATTTATTGTTAATGTTGATCGAGGAGTGTAACTAGTTTGTGCAATTGTTTTACGGATTTTGTTTCAAATTTGACGGGTCCAGATCTAGCCGACCCAAATCTGAGAACCGTTGGGTCCGGGTCTGGAACACTATATTCTGGCCCGTACCCGATCCATTGACAGGCCTACCCAGACCTGACCAAATCAAACAAGACAAGACTTGGATAACTATAAAATATCCTGAGTATTCTGAGTATGATTAGGGATTACTGGATAAACAACCAAAAACCCGCTATATTATGAGGTTTTAAATGTTTTGATACAGCCTATTTGTGGATTAAAGCTGTTTGATATACCATACCTGGTTCAATACATTACAATGTCATGATCATACCAACACTCATAAATTTAAGAAAACTTTTTTCAGTCTAAGACATATCATTGGCTTTTGACGAATTGCTAGTTCTAACTAATACATTGTGTGACAAAAAGAGGGTCTGGCCTAGCTTTGTCTAAGGTTTTCTTCTCCGGCCGACGGCTTATGCCGTTAGGTGCTCTATGTTTTTGGTTAGGGTTTTAAACAGGTGGTGCCATGGATCAAATATGGAATAGATGATTTGGATCTGTGGATCACCAATTGGTTGGAGTATAATTTTGTTCACCTCCCCAGAGGGTGAACATAACCCTCAAGTATTTTATTATTAAAAGTACACAACTTTTATTTGTTTAAGTAGTCAATGGGCAACTTTAGTTTGAAGTATTTATTTAGATTTGACATGTGAGGTCTTTTTGGTTTTATACGGAGTACTTTACAGAAAGAGTATGTGCAACTTATTTCTTACAATATAAATAAAAATTGTTATTTTCATCTTATCAAAATTAACGGAATAAAATTTATTTTAAATGTAACTTTTTTTTTTCTTCATAATATAGCATATTCAGCTTATTGAACCGCTTCAAGCAGATTTTCACCAGATTTAACAGATTCAGCTAATTTTGTCGTTAAAAAAAGGTCTCGTAGTATTATTGTTAGTTGAATTTCAATACTTCCTCCTTTTTTAGTTGCAACATTTCATTTAGTTCAAAAAAAGAATTCACATACGGAGTACATTAATAAGTAAAATGTAGTCAAAATAGAGTACATAAATAATGTGTAAATTCCAATGTTGTAACTACTATGATACGGAGGATAGTATATAGTATAGAGTAACCCATACTAAGTTAAGCAAACATTTTTTTTTGACAAAAAAGTTAATCAAACATATAATAAAACGAGATTCTCAAAAAAAAAAAAACAGACGTATTGTAAATGATACTAATATATAAATAATTTACACTACAAAAAGCCAGGCATTTTCCCTTCAAAACTATAATTCACAAGCAAAAAGTAACACATCTGACATAGGACTAAAACCTTTCTACACATAAACCCGGTCGAGCAAAAAAACAAAAAATTCAACAGACCTACAATTTGTCCAGTTCAACCCCAACAAAAACACAATTTGCATTTGTGTGTACCACATTTTGTTCCATCCTTTCTGATATATATCACTTGTTTACCGGCTCCATAGCATGGTTGGTGTTCAATGGATCACCTGTAAAGATTAACTACTTTTGTCAAAAAAAAATACGGTTTTGAAATTAAAATAAGAATAATAAAAAGAACATCCAAAGTAAAAATTAATGGAAGGTACTCAGACTTACACTTTCTTTGAGCCCTCTTCCGTGACCTTTTTTCCAGTGCACTTTTAATTCTTTTTCTTGATATTGGTCTTCGTTTTATTGGATCTCGCAAATGACAATTGGTCTGGAGGTTTGGTGTTGATTGTT